GAACCTTAATTCCAAGGCCACTGGAACACGAATTTCCGCTAATATCAAGGTGGAAATGCCACAAACTAGAATGTCCATGTGCCGTATGTTCAGTGCAGTTAGTGCAGCTGTGCCCCATGACATCGATGAACTCATACTTCCTACATCCTTCAATGTTTGTGTCCTGAATGATATCAACGTCACTTAGCCTACCAATCAGAAGGTCAGGTGTCAAGGAAACTCTTATTGGAAAGTTACACGTTGCTCTAAACAAGGTGCTCTTGGTACGGAGGTATTTCATACTATTTTTGGACATGCGATAATTRTCCCAATTTGGTGGAATGKTTTTGTTTATTYTATAATCAACGGARAATGGTTTGTWCCTGAATCCAGTTTGTTGTCGAGAAAACGATTCGATGAGGGTCCACARCCTGTTCCCATCAAATACACAGTACACTGGAATGGTATGTATATCGTCCCTTTTAATCCAGTAGACACCATTTTCTGGTGTTGTTTTAGAAGCGATTAAAATATCCATACAAGATTTCACTCTCTCCTCGCAAGTTTTTCCTTTGTATGTTTTCTGGCAGGTGCAGCTGAACTTTTCTTTGGGTGAGYTGCATTGTTCTTCGCATGTCCCTCCGTTCATACAAGGCTTTGATCGACAGCAGCCATTATAGCAACCTCCTTGTGGTAAAAAATTGGAGCGACTCTGTACAAAAAGCAAGACTCCTGACTATCAATTGTGACAACAAAAATATTTATGGCTCATAAAATGCGCATTAAACATTCTTACCCCTTTGTACATTGTCTGCTTGAGATCAAAGTACACGTATCCTGACTCATCTGTCAAGGTTTTGGAAGTCTTGTCCTCATCTAGCAACTCACATCTTGCATCTTTCATCTGACACGCCTTACATCGACAATCTTGGACGCAATGACGGTAGCACTTGGCTGGATCATCAGTGGTAATGTTGTTGTAGGAAAATCCCTKGAGATGTTTTCCATGGAAGATGTCTTTGGATTCTGGATAAAGTGTTCCTGAATAGCAGGTGCCATTGCAATGGGGTTTGCTTCTGACGTGG